CGCCTCCTTGAGCTCTGACACGCCTCCTTGAGCTCTGACACGCCTCCTTGAGCTCTGACATGCCTCCTTCATACTCCATCCAGACCCACACTGGGACATGGGTCCCACTTGATGATAAATTGGAGGCGTGTGACTGATGGGTTATTGTTAGCATTATTAGCACTCTAACACAAGCCCAACAATTGGAGAGATAGCAAAAGAATATGCTGAGACTGAGCTACTGTAAAATAAACTTAAAGTAAATGAGATCTTCTAGAGCCTCAGTACTGGTGCTACAGGAGGCAGCAGCAGCGGTGTGCAAGCCATTCAGAAGCTGAACGCACCACTATCAACGGTTTACATAGTCTTGATTTGGATCAATGGACCAATATTATTTCTTTAATAATCCAACCATTATAATTACATAATAATCTTAATTTAAATAACTTAAATTGAAATTAAACCACTGTGCCTCCAGTGTGTGAATGGTTAGTTAGTCTTGGTGGGCAGGTGGCCCCTTGCATGGTGGTCCCTGCCATCAGAGTGTGAATGTGTGTGAATGATGACATGTAGTGTTAGATCTTTGACAAGTACAAGTCCATTTAGCATTTATGTTCCCTTCAATAAATACGTTCCGTTTCCTTGTATCACTTCCTACATGAGGCCCATTGCGTATTAGCCGACCCTCCTTCACTTGGTTTTGTGGTGAGGGAAGTATACCCATGTTTCTGGGTAGTGTAGTTCCACAGATGTGTTTTGAATAACTCCATTCTGTAAGTGTAACCTCGCACTGATTCTCTGCAGGCTTTGAGTCTGTAGTGTGCTCACACTGGAACCAGTGACACAATGAAGTAGACTCTAAACTGTCCTTATGTGCTGCTGATGGACAGCCTTGTCTCTAAAGGGAATGGAGGAGCTGCTCACAGCTGCAACATATCCATCAAAACAACAAGCCTATCTATATTAGTATATACAGTAGATATGGATTGTGTATGCAGTTAGTATGTAGTATAGAACAGAGAAACAGTCCAACTTCAGACAGCGCTGTGCCTGACAGCACCAGAGTGATAACCAATGACTAAGACCCGATGTGTCCATATGTAAGTGGGAAGGTTCCAGCGATTAAGAAAGTTAAGTAGCACGTTAAAACACCCACACTGGTGCTGCTAGCTGATTAGGTCTCTGTTCATGTTGAGGCATCGTGGAGTAACCATGGCTCTGCTCATCTGTGTGGTATTTTGGGGTCCAGTGCAGAGTGCACGGTGCACGGTGCACAAGAGAGAGAGGTCCATTCAAATGAGGCGAATGTTGGAAAAGTGTCTTCGACTTTGAGCTGAGAACAGACTTCTCGTGACATCTGTTTGTGGTGCAGCATCCCTTCACTGCCACGGCAAACCAAACGCACAAGAACAGAAGAATGCTTCAGATGTAAGTCAACTATTTGAATTTAACATTCCCAAACCAGTAGATGCATTTACATCAGGGCCTGTCTCGGGCTCAGTGCAGCGTGAGACTCACATCATGGCAGAGAGAAGGAAACATTGTAGAACTCTGATCGTCTCAAACACAATAAAACCCTCACAAGTAACTTTATCACAAGATGTGACCAACAAGCCATCAGTCTGTTTGTGGAGCAGCCGTCAGGTAACGGTAGCGATGTCATACGTTAGTGATGTCATACGTTAGTGATGTCATACGTTAGTGATTTTCTTTTATGTTCACGGTATTTGATGGGATCATTGCTCTCATCAATGAACACATTTTACATACGCATAACATACTTCTATTTTGACCAACAGGAAGTCAGCCATGTTGGATTTCGTGGACGTAATTTGGACTGGACTATCTACATGTATATTAGAGCGAGTGAAGTGATGTGTCACAGTCATAACATCATAAGCGATCATGGGTGGGAGTGATGGAAACGACGGTCCTGATCTTTAGATATGGACTTCTTCATGATACAGCACGTAGGAAATCATGACGCGGACCACTTTGAGAATCCCTGGTGTACAGTACCTGTGCAGAGGAGGCCGTCCTTGTAGTAGAGGGCGTATACTCGAGCGCTGTGGCCAATGAGGGACGACGTCTCGAAGGCCTCCTGATCCTGCAGCTGCACCCTACGCAGTTTGGCCTTCAGGTAGACCGCCTTCCAGTGTGGCGCGTCCTGAATGTTCTCATCGATCCTCCAGCCCAGCTCCCGACACACACCCTGCCACACCTCGGTGCACGAGTTGATCACCTACAAGGAGACAAGCGCTTGTTGGAACACTTTAGACACGGGTATGGATGAACACTAGAAGGATGAGCTGATATACACTACTTGTTAGTTTCTTTACATTGTTTTGTAAACGTGGTGTTTAGATTCTGGCTTTGCCTATAACATTATACCAGCTCTTAATTATCATAATCAGAATCAGCTTTAATGGCAGAGTAAGTGTCAACACCTGAAAGACATTAGTGAAAGATGCTTAATAAGATTACCATAAACATGTATACCAGAGGAAATCATATGATGTAACAGCCCCCAAAGCAGCAAAGCGTCACACTATCAGGTTGTGACGTGAATAATCCATCTGGCTCCGACATCGGCCAATATCTTTAACGGCAGCGTAGAGCACGGCGGCAAATGCTTCACGATGCTCAACAACAAACTTATGACAAGTGGACGGCCCCAAACAACACATCCCAACTACAGACATTACTGAGCGGCTCAAAGGAGCCAGCAGTCATAGACAGACTCTGAACCACAGACGTATGTCCTGCTACAGCATGGCCCACCACCTAACAGCTACAACGAGTCACCACTGCCGCAGGAAAAACCCCAACACCCCAAACGGCTGGGTGAAGGCCTGGTGATAAATTAGAAGGTTACTCTAAATTTTGGCATTCAACTGGCTTTAAAAAATATCATGTAACTCTGTAAAAATAGTGCCAATTCCTGAGTTTCTCAACAAATACACAACTATTTAGCCATACTTTGAGATATAAGCATATCTAATAACATTCAATAAAACAGCGTCACATCGGCAAGACTACATCAAGACCTATCTGATGGAACAATAATACAAGTCAAAACTCTGTGCTACGGGCACATTTCCATCAAAGTAATAGAAGAAGAAAGTTACCACGATACCTCGCCTTTACACTTTATCTTATCCACTTTGTGTCTTTGAGCTTTTTGGAAAGCGCACCTTAAATAAAATGTACACACGTGGACAAAACTGTTGGTACCTTCCGTTAAAGACAGAAACACCCACAATGGTCACTGAAATAACTTGAAACTGACAAAAGTAATAATAAATAGAAATGTACTGAAAATGAACTAATGAAAATCAGACATTGCTTTTGAATTGTGATTCAACACAATCATTTAAAAAAAACATACTAATGAAAATGACCTGGACAAAAATGATGGTACCCTTAACTTAATATTTTGTTGCACAACCTTTTGAGGCAATCACTGCAATCAAGTGATTTCTGTAACTCTCAGTGAGACTTCTGCACCTGTCAACAGGTATCGTGGCCCACTCCTCGTGAGCAAACTGCTCCAGCTGTCTCAGGTTTGAAGGGTGCCTTCTCCAGACTGCATGTTTCAGCTCCTTCCACAGATGTTCAATAGGATTTAGATCAGGGCTCATAGAAGGCCACTTCACAATAGTCCAATGTTTTGCTCTGAGCCATTCGTGGGTGTTTTTAGCTGTGTTTTGAGTCATCATCCTGTTGGAGGACTCATGACCTGCGACTGAGACCAAGCTGTCTGACACTGGGCAGCACATTTGGCTCCGTTTGGCCTTGGTAGTCTTGAGATTTCATTGTACCCTGCACAGATTCAAGACACCCTGTGCCAGATGCAGCAAAGCAGCCCCAGAACATAACCGAGCCTCCTCCATGTTTCACAGTAGGTACAGTGTTCTTTTCTTTCTATGCTTCATGTCTGTGAACATAGAGCTGATGAGCCAAAAAGCTCTAGTTTTGTCTCATCTGTCCAAAGGACATTCTCCCAGAAGCTTTGTGGCTTGTCAATATGCTTTTTGGCAAATTCCAGTTTCAAAACTGGAGCTTTTTGGCAAGTCACATCAGCTATGCAGAACATCCGATTGAATATTGAAGAACCCCCCATGACCCATGCACCACATTCACCTTGTTCCACTGTTTGCAGACCAGGCAGCAGGTGAGCAGGGTCTCAGGATCCAACCATTGCATCAGGTAGAAGGCCAGCTCCAGGGGGAGGAGGCGCAGGAAGTCGCGCTTGAGCAGCGTCTCCAGCCCATTAGACAGATGACGGAGCTGGACGGCACCGCTTTGAGAAATGAGGTGGTCCAGAGACTGGTTGCGCTGCTGGTCGTTCAGAGTAAGGAAAGTGGCAGAGACTGACTCCAGCCACCTCTCGAAGGCTGCTTTCTCCATGGGACCATGAGAGCAACCTGCAACACCTGCAGGACAAAGCCGACGTGAAAGAAGGTCTTGTCTTTGAGGCTATAACAAATGTATGACAGTTTTACTTAAATACAATCTTAATTGATTGGTTTATAATCATTCTAACCTGTACGTTTGTAAATATGTTGTTTAACTAACAATCTCATTCCATAAAAATGTACAATAGATGCAATATGTTAAGTGAATAAATATCTTGCAGCTGTAGATGATCATGGAGCTATTCTATCGGCACTATCAGCATTGTTTACATCTGCAGACCAAATGCGGCTTTTTCTTATTTTCCATATAACATAACACAATACAATATAACTTGAGCATATTTCTAATAAATTGTACTGTACAGTGTCTTCACCTGATGGCACAGAAACAAACATTTGACCATTTCCGCCTGTTCTGTTCTGTGTAATAATTTGAAGATGTGTCCATCATAAATGAAATTTAACAAATGACCATTTTAAAATGCATTATCATTTAAATCATCTATCAAGTCAAATTGCCAAACATTTGCTGGTGACAGATTTATGCCGTCATCTTTTCCTCCGTTCCCTGGGTTACACATCATTGCAGTTTAACACGCTGGGCTTCCTTCACAGCTGCTCACACAGAACCAGCATTCACAACATGTTACATTGTTTCAGTGTGGAGGCTTTATGACCAGGAATTCATCACACTGACCAATTTGTAATAGTTTCATGAGCTAGAAATGTAGCCAGAGAGAATACTATGGAGACGTGCTGGATAGTAGATACATTGACTCGTGGTTTAGTAACATTACTTGAATAGCTGTACTAAAGTGCTGTCAATCATATCAGGTAGTTAGCATTTGCTTTTACACTCAATCCAAGTTAGCTACCTGGCTAGTTAGCAACTTTTGTAGCAAACGTTAGCTGAGTAACGTAACACTACTACAATTTAATAGCAAATTAGCTACGACTAGTAACATCCAAAACAATCAATGAACAGTACGTGCTACCGCTAGTAAATAAAGTTACAATTAAACATGTAAACTCGAAGTGTCCACCAACCAGAGAGTTGCAGGGAGTTTCTTTATCGCCACTTTCCTGGCTTAGTTAGTTCACATAGCGAAGTTAGCTGTCGTAAGCTAACCTGTCAGCAGGCAAGTTGAAAGGATTGTCCAAGTAACCTAGCTTCGTAGCTATCGCTAGCTAACCACCATGATGTGAGTACTTGATTCTGTTAATAGTGAATTACATAGTATCCCTAATAGATTAACGGTAGTCTTCATTTATTCAGTATTCATTCCTCAAGCAGGGAGTGTTTGAGTAGTAGTGTAGAAGGATAGCAGTTCTGTTCTGACAGCATGAAAACCAAAAGATAATGGAAACGCTATTGACACAGGTTTACTTTACCATCAGCGTTGTCTTACAGGAGAGGCCGTAGGAGTATTTAATTATTCTCCAAAAACAAATAGACATATTTAGAAAATGACTACTACATTCCTTCCGCATACATCTGCTACACTGACAAATTAATGAAATGTTTGTGTTTTAGACGGTAATTGCCTTGGATTTTTTTTCTAGTCATAGGTCCTAACTCGTCTGTAAGACAAAGCTGCGGGCGTCGTTTCTCAAAATACACAGGTAAACTAGCTTCCGGTGTTACGTACAATGTGGAACGGTGAGAAATATGTGACCGAGGCTAGTTTGGTCACTCCTGCTGGTTCCTCAGCGGCGACATAGGTGGTCTATGGTCATTGTGGTTTATCTCAGAGTGTAGTGGAACCAAATTATCATACGCTGCCAGCAATGCACGGACGACTTTTTTCAGACATATTAAATCACGCGAGATAAGAGCATGTCACGAGCACAGTAGATTACTGAAATGTGATGAAGAACTATTACCACCAGAGGGCAAACAAATAACGAACAATAATTCTCACATGTAAAGTATATTTGTTATGAACTAACATTAAATATGTAATTATAATCAAGTTAAAAACGATAAGTAAAAAATGAAAATGTCATATTTACCTGTTAATAATTTCACTTCCTCATCCAGCGTTGAAATTATGAATTGATCATTGAAATTGAAGTGGAATGGCTAGATTAGTTGTTTTTTTTAAATACTATACAATTGTACTTTTTGTTATTCCATTCCTGTTTCCTGCATTAACTGCTGCAGTTCCCACCCTGTGTTCACTGTAATGTTTAAAGATGACACTCATCAATCAGGACTTAACCTGTTTATAACAATGGAAGCCAACATGGCAGCGAGATGCATGTCAGTCTTGACCGATTTTATGCCTAAATTAGCTGCCATATCTCGTATCATCTCGTCACATGATCAAGAGACTTGACTTAGGACAACATTAACATGTATAATAACCAGCAATCATCATTGCATATCTGTATGTGACAGAAATACCAAAGAAAATAAGATACCATTCATTTAATTCAATTATTTTTATACTTTATTTGTAATTTTGTATAGTTTATGTACAATAACCACATTTTTATTATAGATTGAACCTACACTGTCTATATTTAGGACCCTGGAACTATGTGTTCTAGATGTAAAGCTAAATAGTTTGTTATAAATTACATAATTTCACCAAAAATGTCCGGGTATGAGGGCGAGGCTTAGGTCAGAGTATGTATTCCTTTGTTTCCCCGAACAATTCACATTTCTGGGCTTGTGTCCAAATCTTCTGGCTAATGCTGGAGTTCTGGTGAAGTGGGGGACTGCTCTGGCTCCCTTCTTACACCTCTTTGTGTCTGTCATGGAAGGACAACCTGGCGAATCAACCTCAACTTTCACTTTCTCCCTGGGCCTCATTGGCATTTGTTAGGGACAATAGTCACTCCGATAAGCTGTACTTTATATTGATGATGATGATGATGATTGACAGTTCCCTCCTTCACTCAGACGTCAGCATGAACCCTTTCTGTACCAGTAGACACATTAAGCTGCTGGGGGCCCCAGGCAGAAATACACTGCACGGCCCCTACAGTATTTACCCCCTACACCTGAGGGAATGAATACAGCTTTGCTTCTGGTTTTAAAACTAGAAAAACTTCTGGAAATATAACTTTCTGAGAAACTATAGCCACCAATAACAGTTTCTGGGTACATTTGGAGAGACTAACAGTTCAGCTCATTCTATTTATAACTAACAGTTTAAACGTGGTGTTCAGATGCTTCAGACGCTTAAAAGGTGGCAGTCAGCATCCAAACCCTCTGGGTCATTTATGAATGAACTATGATTAGATTTAAGGTGCTGCTGACAGTGTATCCACTGAAGTAGGAAAAAACAGAAGCATCTGCTGAGCACAAACATATCCCTGATTACACAGTCATAAGTCTGTGTTGTTCTGGAGATATGGCACAGACAGTCATATCCTGATGAGCTCATCATGGTCAACAGGAAACTTGTTCAAAACGCTGACCCCAAAAAGCATGTCAGGAGCGTTGTCTTTCATTCAACATAATGGGTGACTAATAGATGGTGGTAACTTGCCAATAATGTTGCTCACTCCAAGTGCGGTTCACCACTCCATCCGTATCTGTCACTGATTAGGGAGGAACCTCCCAAGGACAGAACAGCAGATCCGCTACAGCGGCCTATTCCCTCTGCTGTGTTTAGCGTGTCTCATGCTGTGTTTAGCGTGTCTCATGCTGTGTTTAGCGTGTCTCATGCTGTGTTTTTGCACAGCTTGTATTCGTGTTACTTCACGTACTGAAAGAATATCCAATGCAAGGACTCAGTCTGAGTGTTATGGTATGTTTTACCGCTTGACTGGAAGTTGTTCAGTGATAAAACAGTTGCAGGGAATGAACTGCTGTCTGTCATGTACTAGTGAGCAGCTTCAGATACCAACTTGTCTTCATGGGCAACATGTTCTCACGCCCAACTCTTCAGTACCCACCCTTGATCAGTTGCCCTGCGCTTCAAAACTTTGACGCTCTACATTCCCCTCTAAGGTCAGTTGTGGATAAGTGGCACAGTCACAGGAAACATACAGTTTCTGCTCGTTACATGCTTACATGCTGATTGGGGAGTCACAGCTAAACCCAGGTCGCTGTGCAGCAGACAAGTTATACAGCAGATAACCAGCTCAAGTTCAAAGCATGACTCCAAACCTTTGATCGTTGAATTTCATCTTCTTCCTTCTGGACCGGTGTTTATTATCCCATGGTGTAAACAAAGTGGTATAAAAACAGCTTTGCTCCAGCAGCCATCACTCAGATGAACAAGTCGTAGCAACATTGTACAGATTTACTTGAGTGTCTTTTGTGATTTAGTGGGGCCTTGAGTATTTTTGTCATGTTAGTCTATTATCTGTGTTGTTTGTAAAATGTGTCAGAATGGATACTGTCTACTGCAAACCAAATCTACCTATGGGTACAAATATATTCACCTGAACCTGAACAGTATCTTTTCAAAATAAACTTCCAATGTAGATTTGTGACAAAATGACTTGGTTCAGGAAAAAATTGTGGTTTGGGTTGTTACATAAAAGTGCTTGTTACGTAAGTTTTGTTTTGTTATGTACACTACTAACGCCAGTTACCGTACAAGTGCACATTTTTACGATTGGTAGTAATGTACATAAGTTATGTAACACAACTAAATTAAAATAAGTCAGCCGTGACTTGGTTTTACATGGGACACAAACAGCTCTCTCCTAGGTGAAAGTCCCTAGTTTGTTTCACTGGCCTGCAGTGCTGTAGAAATTCATGGTCCATGGAGGATCCTAGTACACAACCCCATTCATTGGTCAGTTGCAGGATAGTAGATTTGGCAAAGGCAAATGTATCAATGAACCACTCATCTCTCCTCCAACCCTGCCATCAGACCAATACTTCCACACACTTCCACTTTTTCACATTTAAAAATCTAAAGTGCAGGTTGCCATTAAAATTTACTGTAACTTTTATGCTCCCAAAAGATGAGCCATCCTCTGGTGTCACCCTACCCTAAAACTACCTCTCACTTGATTTATTCAATTTAAATTATGGTCCCATTTTGTGTAAAATAGACTACAATGTAGGGTATGCTTTATGGCGGGGCTACCTTATGATTAAAAGGTTGCTACCATGGAGTTGTCCGTGTTTTCGTCTTAGAACTTTAACCCTTTTGACAGTGTGTTTTCAGTTCATGGAAGTTAATTGTAACTGCTCAGCGTTCGGTCGTACTTAGCTCCAACCTCTCAAGTCACTTCTGGTTGCAAAAAAACTTAAATGCCTAAACAGCCTAAAACAAAGATGGCGACAGTCAAGCCTTCAAAATCATAGACCACAATTTGGCCAATCAGATCAAAATCACACATTCCTGGCAGATTACTTTAACGTGAACACTGTTTACCTCTTGATCATTGAAACAGAGGTTACAATGATTGTTGATAACTTTCCAGATTTGTAAGCCTACAAAGTCACAGATCTACAGTATTACACAAGCTTCGCTTTTTTGATTGTATTTCATCTTCTCACTGCTACCTGAAGCATCACACCACCAAAGACCCTGGTGGTTTTTAACCCTGTGCTATTTTCTGGTTGAATGCCTGTCTAGAGTTTAATATGATTCATACGTTTACCCAAATGCACAATGCACAATATCCTGATCATGTGCCAGTTATTATAGGTGACACAAAGTTCATGGGTGCAAATCTGTCCGTTGGGCCATCGGGTGTCAGGCACAGCTGTTGTTTCGGCAGGGGTGGGGGGGTGGAGGGAGTAAAAGGGGGTAACAAGTCTCTAACAAGCTAAGTGATGGATGTCTGACTGCTAAGCTCCATGCTACAAAGGAGCCATTAAAGCTGCTGAAGACACTAAAACCCGTCCTGGATTCACTGGACTGCACAGGTTAGCACAGCGCCGGAGGCTGATTGGTTCACACAAGGACGCCCGGTGGATTTAGGCCGACATGGCTTCAGTGAGTAGAATATGTGTGAATGTAATGGCAATTTGTCATTGGACATCTGTAAACGCTGCTGACTGTAGAAAACAGTAACGTCAAGGAATTATGACAGTTGAGATATTTTGGCTCCAAAATGCTGCTTTGGTGTTCTTGTTTCTCTTTTCATCCATTACATTTTGTATGAAATATAAAATGAATCCATCTCTTTTCTGACACATTTATTCTGTCAGGTCATGAACGGCTGGATTTGCCCTGGCTCATAGTGGACATTCACACCTGAAATTACTCATAAGATACTTCAACAATAATATTTCAGTAAGGGAACAGTCTGAAGGTAACATATATTGAGGGTTTACAGGGAAACTGGATTTAAATAATCTAGAATTGCTTTCAAGGAAAATACCAATGTTCTGGGCAGGCCATTGTGTCTCAAGGGCGGAGCTGCAACTTGCAGCATTCAAGTCTAT